TGTGTGTGTATGCATACATGTATGTATATATATATGTATATATATACACACACACACACACACACACACACACATATATATATATAATGCTTTTTTGCTTTCAGATTAATAAAAAGTGCTATGGGGTAGTGTTTGCAATAATTTATATACACATAGCTGTTTATGTAGACCATTTCTAGTAAATTATAAGCATACATTCATTTGAAACCATGTAGTTATTTTTCCAAAGTATTTTTCTACTTTAATATTATATTTTCATATTATATTAGTCAGCAACTAGAAATTTAGAATGGAGAAGTTCCATGAAAAAAAAATTAATTCAGAAATCTTTGAAATAAGACATCTGGATTCTAGGAACAGAGAACCACAGTGCATCGTCCTCTGACTAGCTCTACTTGAACATGCCCTAATCAGGTTCATTAGTAGGAATGTGTGGTCTAACTTCACAATGCGTGTTAAAGTAAAGCCACTCACTACCCAATTATACAGCTGCAACATTCAAAGACCTCACACACTTTTCCACAAGATGCTGTGCAAAATTCCCTGTTGCAAAAGGTGCTCAAAATAGAGTCKTTACTGCAAAGGAGATAACTGTGCATTGGTCTTTGTTTTCTTTTCCCCTCTGGCTTTCAGTGTGGCCTTTAGAGGCCTCAACAAGAGGTAACCAGGACTTAGCAAGTAGGTCTTCTAACCAATAAATTATTTCACTTGAAAATCATACTTTAAAAAAACTCAGTAGTGTATAGGTTGAGGGGAAAAACAGTATGCTCACTTTCAAATCACTGCAGCCATCTGTATGGCTCTCAGATGCCTAATGCTCCAGTTTCTGGAGAGAATCGTTATCTATAAAACTGTATAGGCAGTTATTGATGCTATAAATGTACCCTTGATCCACACAGGCTGAAATACGCAGCTATTTGGAGCTATTTGGAGACTGGAACCATCCTCACTGTTTTAAGTCAGTGGTTAACTAAGAAGAGGGGAAAATACTCCCAGGAAAGTCAATGTAAGTGGCAAATTCASTAATTATCTAGATTCACTAAGAAAATCTAGATAATTGTGTGAATACAAATTAAGACTCACTTCCTATTTTGAGGGCTTAATGTTAAAAAAAATCCAACAAAAGAATAATTAATTTATTCAAATAAGATGGAGAAGTGGTTCTCAAAGGTCAAGTTAATGTTGCTATGAGCTTGTAAGGAAGGACGATATCTCACAACATAAAGAAAATGGGTGAACTTTCTGAGACCAAGATGTACCCTTTTGTGAATCTGTATTTGATCTAAAAATAGATAAACACTTATTTTCAGACACCAATTAATTTGAAAATGCAATAAAAGGGAGAAAGGATTATCTTCAAAAACTGACTGCTGGATTACATTTTTTAAATACAGTAATAATAAACTACAGCCTACTTAGAGGTCACACTTTTAGACACTCCAGATATTAAAATAGATTTTTAAAATACTGTTTATGGGGAAATTAAGCTAAAAATACATATATAGGCAATAATTCTTTTACATATAAATAATGTAAATGGAAGCTATGGAAATAATTCATTATCTACTCTAATTAATATGCACAATGAGCTTCTTGCCAGCTACATAATGYCATGATTTAATTCCTGACTTGGAATGGTTAGAAAAATAAAATGCATCTCTGTAAACATTATCAGCACCAAAATACTGCATATCATGTAGAGTAAAAATGAAGCAAGATTATATTCAAGTAAACTCAAATTTCTTGAGTCATTTGTATTCAAATCTCAAATTTATCTATTCCTTTTCAAATGAAGAAAAAGACCTATGATTAAAACCACATTTGCTGTTTTTCTGTCATTTACCACTGACACATAAAATACAATAAAGGTGAAGCTATTTCCTTAAATAGTGCATATCTTGTGAGAAAGCTACACACTTCAATTAATGTATAAGTTGAATATTTAAAAATATATCCTATTAATGTCCCATGCTTATTTCTATGGGGAAAATAAAGGACATTCTTTTACATTACTCACAGAAATAGATGCAGATTTTGTGTGGGGCTAGAAGCAAATGTACTTTTGCTGGTCTTCTTTAAGAAAGTTTATACAAGATTCCTAATGCAAAATTAGGTCCAGGATCTTGGAAGGGGCCTGTCTACATGAAAGGTGCTGCAACTTAYGTTTCATTAGCTTCTCAGGATATTGGTTTATGCATAGCAATTCATTTTTAACATTCTCCAATTATGTTACATAATATGTTGCATAACATCAAAATAGTTACCTCTAATCAGAAACTACTCTTCATTTCCTGATACGCTGACCTTCAATTCTCTATCTTTTCTTAACTTATACCTGAATTGTAAGAGATAACATTAACAAAGGTCAGAATTAATATCTTTCATCACCTTACATTCATCTGCCAATTGAGATAAAATTTCTTGAAGACTCATCACAGTTCATGAAGTATTCTGTTATATAATTATACTCCTGTTAACCATCTGTTGATGTATCAAACAGAAATTGGGGAAACAATTCCACCAGATAAATGAGACAATCTGGAAGTGTTTCAATGTACATATTTTAGTGTTAGAGAAAGTGCCCTCCATTGCTAATATAACCTAACATCTGACTTCAGCAGGGCTGAAGGAGCATCAGTGTAAGTGCACGGAGTGGATGCACATTCCTAAGTTTTATGTTTGGAAATGGAGCCAGCCATCTTTTCTAGGACAGATCAGTAAKCTCCTAAAGAAAGACAAGAACACAGTCTACTTCCCGTCAACCACATCACGATCTGTAATAGTCTAGTTTTCTTCATTTGATCAAAGTAAAAAAATCAATCTAACACTTTAAAATAATAGGGTCAAAATAGCTCTATGAGAAAAATATTTACTGCTAATATTCTTAATCATGAAAAGAAAATCATTCCTAATTTTAGTTATGTTTTAGCTTTGGAAGTCTTAACTATATTTCTTAAATCATAATTAAATATTTGAGAATTTATGTGCTAAAAAAGAATATTTGAAAATAGCACATTGGTTATTTTAAACTGTATTGGGTACTGGCCACTTTCTGTAATAATAAACTCATGGTGTTATAGAAATGTTTGAGTATGCACAAGTATAACATATGAGTAGCCCATACACACGTACGTATCTAAAGATATGAGAAACATTTTTACTTTGCATAAAAATATGCACATACAAGTGTGCAGAGTTTTTGAACTAGAATGTTTTACATGATACTGTTCTGAATACAAATTATAAATGCTCACTCCTTGATTAAAGAAACCCTGTTTTTCCTGATATTTCCTAAAAATAAAGTAAAATATGACCTAATCACCATCGCTTTTTAAAAAARTGGCAGACTTTTTGTCTAGTTAAAATTGGTACTCTAATGGCTTAGAAACTAGGCAACAGACAAAACATTGTGGAAAGTAAGGGAAAGAATTATGAATATGTATACTAATCAGACCCTACAATGATACATTTAAAGAGATATTAGAATCARAATAAACGAATAAATAAAAACATGAGACAAATCAGCTACTGGAGAGATAAGCACATTAACTTCAGGAACAACCAAATCCTACCCAAAACTCTCCAAGAGATGTTGCTATATTTTTCAATGGKCTAGAAAAATCTCAAGAAGAATCTGCTATTTAGATCTTATGGTCTAGACAGTGTAAAAATTAGTATATAAAAGAATTTTTTACCTTTAATAATATATAATTGGCAGAGATGTGGGCAAATGAACAATTTATATTGGAAAAAGGGACTACAAATCAAAATTTGAAAACCCTATGCAAAGAATAAATAAAAGAAACTGATAGGAATTTTCTTAGTAACCTACATTCATCATAAACATCAATCTTGGGTATATATTAACTGTGATAAGAGTAAAAATTAAAATTAATGAATTGGAATTACTCCACATTTTATAAATCATCATTTCTACTTTGAATAATTATCTATGAACTCTGTCTGGTCTTAATGATTTTAATCAGTATAATTCTTTGAAAATTTCTTATTTTCAAACAGACAAAAATTAAGGGATGAAACATACTCTGGCCATGACTGRCCATTTAATCTTAGATGTGTATACATAATAGCTTAAATTTTTCATAATTACATTACTCTCATTTGAAAATTCCACAATACTTTCTAATTCTGACATAACGCCACCTGTCTGAAGACACACACTCATGCAGTTTCTCCTTCTTTCAATAAACTTATTATCAGTTATCTCATTTGCAGATAGAATGATGATTAAGGTAAGGAAACTACGGACAAATCCTAGATCCAGAAGTGAACTTTTTTTAGAAACATCGGTTGTGAATCTTATTTAGCGGTGACATTTCTTCCTATATTTTTATGTAAATACATTGCTTTTCCTAATTGATCTGGACAGTTTTACCCACAGAAATAGTTTAATAAAGGATAAAATACATAAAGGAAATGCACAAACTGTTAAAATTCATCACCATGTTAAAATAGCCATGAACTAAAAAAATTGTTCAAAATTACTAACATTGCATCAAGATGCAATTACAGARATGGGCCTAATGTTTTGAATATTTTCTTTATTGGTGATTTCTCTCATGCTGATATTCTAATTTGAAGACTTAAGAATGTATATATTTAGGTTTGTTCACCAATGGGTAAATTATTAGAAAAACAGGAATCTACTCTTAATTTGTTACCAAAATGGACACAACATCTTGATCAAATGAACTGACATGAAAACCGAATGGCACATTAACTGTGGACCTTCCTCACAATGAGTGAAAAGATATCTAACATAATAAATTCTCAAGGATTTTTATTCAAACACAATTCTTGGATTTGCCTCAGAAACAACAGCTCTTAGAAGCTGTTCTTTAATATGTTCAAGAAAATTCGTACATTCCCCCTCATCTTTTGTTCAAGTGCTCTGGGTATATAATCCAAGAAAGGATGAGTGATATCCAAGTTGATATCTAAGGGAAGCAATGCAATGCCAATATACAATTTCTGTCCTCTTTGCCACAACAATAACATATATTCTTTTTTCTCAGAACAATAGAAAACATTTTCACAGTATAGTCATCTACAGTATGTAAAACCATGTTTACAAAACCCCTATGTACAGAAAACATCTCAGTCATCAATGTAAAAGTTCTCAGTCATGATACATACGTTGTAGAGAATGACCACTATATTAACTGTCTATTCCTTTAGTCTTTTTCCCTAGTCCCTACAAGTAGCTAGCTTTCAGAGACTCAAGAATTATGTGAACTCATGATGCAATTTGCATATTAGTTTTCTACAACTACATAGAGTTTTGACTAAATTTCTCAGAAATCAGTTTTAATACATGARCTATGAATAAAAACAAATGATTCCTTTAGTCCATCACCAAAGTTGCAATACTCCAGGTTTTCAGGAAATGAATTAAAGATCCATATTGCATCTCTCCCTTGGGAAGAGTGTCAGGATTTCAATGCATTAGTTCATAATTTGCGACAATCTTCTTCTGGTACAACTTCCAGTATTATCTGTAATGTTCTGGTTATTCTATCTGCAAATAAATGAAAAAGAAAAATTAAAAATGCATAGAAACCAGAAATGCATAAAAAGAGCAAAACATGAGTTATTTGGGGATGAATACTGAAAACACACAACCACCTATTTCATACAGTACTTTCAAGAATTATTTACTTCATTAGAATCCTATCATGCTCAATTAATTTACTTGTCACTTCTGTAACTCCCCATGATGGCTTCTCCGCAAGAATACATTAATATTTTGTATTCAAATAAGGACTTTTATTCATGAACTAGGCAACTGCAAATATTTTGAGACAACAGGACCAAGATAGAAATKAATGTTCAAGAATATACTGCATATTCAGTTTAAAATTGGTTTGTTTTTTCTGTACCTATGAGATCACAGCCAGAAGAATCCGGAGTAGAATCAGAATACAATTTCCATTCTCTAACTTGTATGTATTACTGAACAAATCACCTTATCTCCCAGGGCCTCATTTATCTCATAAGCCTAGGGAGAGACTTGGACTAAGTCAATGATTCTCAAGGTGTGGTCCCCAGATCAGCAGCATGAGCATCACCAGAGACAGAAGAAATACATTTTTTGGAGCTCAATTGTACACCTACTGAATTGGAAACTGAAGGAGGGGCTCATTAGTAATTCTGTAGACACTACATTGTAAGAGCCTCTGGGATAGAAGATTTCTAAGGTCATTTCATCTCGACAGTCCTAGAACTCTGTGACTCCAGCTTCAGGGACATTCTTGTTTGCCTCTTTATCATTGATCCCTATGGAACCTCTTCAAGTTTCTACTAATCCTGGACCAGGCTAGAGTTTATCCTCTTGATGGTTTCAGACCCAGATCATCTCTCATCCAGACACACTCAGAAACACAGTCTTTCTCTTCATTTACGACTTGTCAGCTATAAGAACCCATGCAAGCAATAATTAACACTACAAATGGCATTTTTGCATCCTTTGTTTTATAAGCATGTTCCCCAATGTTGTGTTCCTCAGCACACTGAAATGTAGTCTACATTAACTACAAAGGGTTTGGCACAGTGCTGGCAAATGTTAAACTCTATGCCAAAGTTTCTCAGAATATATTTTGTCACAGCCCACCCTTCAGTTGAGAGTATAAGGGAACACTCCAGAACAATTAGACCCCATATTTACAGAAAAGGGAAATGGTACAATTATYCTATCAAAATAGACTTTTGTGGGGAAAGTAAATATGCAGCAATAGTGAGGGAGATCTGACTTTTGTAGGCAGATAGGGGACTAGAGCTATCTAATCAAAAACAAAAACAACAAATATAAGAGTCTCTATCATCTCTTCTTGGGATCTCAAGATTAGAATAATTTTCATCATTCAGCAGATGATTGATCTTGGCCTTGACTGAAGATGGCCACCAACTTTGCTCTTCTAGGTGACTTACAGTAGGGCCAGACAAGGGTGTTCAAGGGAGCCAMGTAAGCCTCTTGAGAAACTTCCCCAGAAAGGTGGGAACACATGGCTTCCTACAGCCATGTCTACATCCACACTCAAATGAGGTTGGTGGCTTTAGGTGAATCAACCCACATTACTACTTGCATCCTGAGTTTTCAGTAATTGCAACAGACAAGGTCTAATAGCAACTATAGTATTTCTAGCTTTACCTTTCTGGTTCAGCTGTTATAAATAAACTGTAACAACTGACCTTGCAAAAATCAACCCTACCTGGCACAGGCATGGGAGCTGTCGCCAAAGGTGGGTAAGTTTGTAAAGTAATGCAAAGCCAACCTGCCCTGGAAGTTATGTTAACAATAATAGCATTAAAAAAAAAAAAAAGCTTCCAAACCTTTTTCACATTCATGATCTCATTTTGTCTCTATGATGAAGATCTAAGAAATGTAGGCAAGCTTCATCAATTGAAAATGTTAGGCTGCAGTCTACCTGAAAAGTCTGCACATGCATTATACAGCTTCAGGGGTGTTATAAAAGAAGCTGTCTTAACACACCATGGGCAGCATATGCTTTTAGGACTCCGGAGTCACAAAATCACAGTCCACAAAGATGGATTACAGTCCTTCTCCTAGTGTTGCCCAGAATGATTTTTTACWATCAAAGATTTTGTTTAAGTAATGCTGCCCTCCATATCTCTCCCTGAGCAAGAGGGACCAGCTTCCAATCACCCCATTTGCTCTCTCCTGYGACAGGGTTTGGCTGATAGATAGAGGTAGCCAAGTAAAACAGCTCCTGCAGGCCCTGGCCTTRTTCACTGGGTCTTGCTACCTCTGTGCTTTTGCATATGTTAGTGGGGTATCTGCCCCTTTYTCCTTGCGTGAGAGGCTCAGATATCTATAAATAAGTAAATAACGTAAACAACCAACCAGGAGAATTAAGCACTCTGCTACAGATGGCAGGAGAAAAGCTTTCTGTCTCTATCCCCTTAAGAGCRTGTTTTCTTCTCACCCTGGAAATGTTATCATACAAAAAGTGGTTCAATACTGGCATCCTGTGGCCAGAAAAATTCATGAGATCTCTGGAAATCTCAGATTCTGGGGTTCTGGACATTCCCCAGCTATCAGTACCAAGCAGCTTTTCACTGGTTTCTGAAGGTTGTTTAGTTATCTCTCATTGTCAGGGGAAGAGTCCAGGAAAGATGTGCTTTGATAGACTTTCATTCTCCCAGGCTAATGGTCTCATGTATATGAGGACTAAAAAAAGATAGCATAAAAGCTGAAGAATTTTGCCAAAACAAAAGCACTAAACAAACTGGTCTAAACAAAGGCTCTATTGGCCTCCAAGTTCAAGTGGAGTTTCTCTCTAAGAAAAAGTCCACTTTGGGGGCAAGGATCGGCTGGCAGTTTAGGACTCTAGTGTGTCTCTATGCATTTTGTTTTGGCCAAAGGCTAAGAAAATATTTGGGATTGCAGCAATAAATATTATGAATTTTCTTTATTTTTTACTATAAGAATTCTGCCTATGAGAAAAATCAAATAAAATTACAGAGGATTGTTGCTTTTTGCTACTCTCTTTCAAGGCAGCTATAAAGATAAAGAGTTACCATGATCACAATTTAAAGGCAGAATGGCCACGCTCCCTGGTAAGACTTAATGGCATTTTTGAGAACCAAATAACCATTCTGGGACTACTCCATTGCTGCTAGTTTCACATACGGCTAACACTGAATTCAGCGGCCTTGGAGATGTTCAAAACATCATTAGAGACAGAAAAATAGGAGCGGGGAAAACCCTCCAAACTGCATGAACAGGGAAAGACARCAAAGAATGAAACATAAAAATTGTTTTTGGTGTGAACTGATAAAGAAATAGTACAGGACACACATGTTAGTTAGCAAGAGGAAAGAGCTGTTAGAATTAGATACCAAATACCATTTGGAAACTAATAAAAAAAAAAAAAAAARRRGRGRKWCAATGCCCAGTAAGTGGGACAAGACATTTGCTTTCATGAGCTCTTTCTCATTGTAGCTCCACTCCAGGGCCGGGGGTCGTTCTTCCTAAAGGTTCCTGGCTCTCTGTGGAGATCAGGCATTTTAACTGTGTGTAAACACAGAGCTCACAGTGATGGGCACCAATCTGTCYTACATGTTACTAACTAGTCAAATGATCCCAATGGTGAATAGTGTTTAACAAGATGTTTTCCCCTTCCAAATAGGTTCTATAGTTAGTGTCTACAACAGAGAAAAGTCTAACTAAAATGCTTCTACAGAGAAGGAGAATGACTTAATAAAAAATAAAGATTAAATATGTGGGTAAAGAAAGTGGTGTACCTGCCCGGTGCAGTGGTGAATGCCTATAACCCCAGCAGCCCGGGAAGCTGAGACAAGAGGATTTTGAGTTCAAAGCCAGCCTCAGCAAAAGCAAGACGCTAAGCAACTCAGTGAGACCCTGTCTCTAAATAAAATACAAAATGGGGCTGGGGATGTGGCTCAGCAGCCAAGGGCCCCTGAGTTCAAACCCTGGTACCCCTGCCCCCAAAAACAATGTACATGAGTTAGACTTAAAAAATGAATTTGCATTGTAACACCTCTTTAAGAACAGTGTTGCCATCTAGAAGCTAAAATACAAGTAGAAATAGTGGTATAGGGTCTAAAGATACCAAATACCAATTTGAAACTAATCAAAAGTTGTAGTAAAACTCTGCTCCTAATGACTGGCTTCTAAATGAGTTTGTTGAACACAATGGAAATTCAACATAGACATTAAGGGTTTTTTTTTTCTTTCTGTTTTGTTTTCTAGTGGACACATTATCAATTAACAATTTTAATGGAAATCTCCCTGTACTTTTAAGTGGGATTTTAAAAAACTGATTATGATAAACTTAGCAAATTAAAACAAAGAACTACAAAATAAAGGGGATGATGTACTCTAAATTCACCAAATTCACCACCAAGGATATAAGTGCCCCTCTGTCTGTATTTTATACCTCCAGATGCCATCTTTCTCTTCTACCGGGTATCTAATTTATAAAGAGCAAGAGTATGGAACTTGGAAGTCTAGCAGATGTGGATTCAAATCCTAGCTCTGTGCTTAAAATCTGTACCCTTAAAATAGACTTTCCATCTCCCTGAGCCCTGGTTTCCTGGTCAAGGAGAGAATAACACCACCCAGGTTCTGAGGACTTTGTTGGGGACTGATGGAGATGCTCAAGTAGGGGAAAGAGTGTTCAGTGCTCCTGCCACGGGGGCTTGCCACAGAGCACTGAGCTCTTTGGCACCCATCTCCCCTCTGGTCYACTATATTTTCTTCACCCCAACCATAGCAGGTCACCAGGTTCTCCTGGGTTTTCCTCCATAATATCCTTCCCTGTCTCCCCAGCTGATACAGCCTGTGATTCAAGTCTCYTTGATTCTCATCTTTATTATCGCAGAAACCACCAACCGTGATTCTCTATCTTTAGCTTCAACTCTTTCTCATGCATCCTGGCAGCACCCCCTGATGATTTTTCTAAAGTCCAGAACTCCCTSGGTTTGAATCCCAGCTCTCCTCCTTTRTATCTGTGGGACTTGGAATGAGTGGTGTGAATTCTTCCATGCTGTAACTCACATCTATAAAATGGGGATGATCATTTTTCCCACCTCATAAGACAGGTATTGGATTAAATGTCATACATGTGCAGACTCATGGCAACCACAGAATAAATGTGACTGTTATTCTGCCCTTTGTTTTTGCTGTCATTAGGATCCTCCGTGACTCACATTCCCACCAAGGTAGAGCCATGATCACGATATTGAATGCACTCCCAGGCTTCCACCTAACTCCCCAGCAACCCTCATGTCACTGGTCGAGTTATATGTTATGATATAGAAATACTAAGCTGCATTCAATCCAGAAGAAAAATAAAGAGGTTATTAAGGGATTCAAAAGAGCAATTAGGTCGTTTACAGAACTGATGATAAAATTTTATCTGAAAAAGCCAATCTTCTAAGAAATGATAAGAGCGGCCCAAACTAAATACCCTGAAAGGATGCTATGGCTGTGCCCTAAATGTCCTTCCTGCTTTCTTTTCTCTTGGTCCCAATTAAAGTACATTAACTCAGTCCAACTAGCAATCCTGGAACTTATTTTTTTTAATATTTTTAAGACGTGCATGGTTGTCTGCATAACCTATGTGGGTTTCCTGCAACATAGTCACACGAGGTCCAGGAATTGCTGGAAACTCTTACCTGACATTCTTCTAAACCACCTGGGTTTGTTATCCCATATGATAAAGAGATAATACGCAGGCACCCCAGTCAGAGTGATGAGGAAGCCGATTCCAGTACTGAATGGGTCCGAATAGAGGGAAAGGGCAACCATGAAGAGGCACGTGAAGGAGAAGAGGGCCGGGATGAAGAGCGGCACCTGGAACACAGCACAGAAAAGGTCACTTTAGACATGGAGCAAGAGTCAGGAGGTGGGGTCAGAATGCACAGGTCTGTCATGTGATCAGCTTCCATCAGGTGACCAGGGGTCTGGCACCAGCCTACTTGGAAGCAAGATCTTTCATGCAGTGCAGCAAATGTGCTACACAGACCCCCTGAAATCCAAATGAACGGGTTCTTAAACCCTTAGATGAGACAAAAATCTAAGAATAAAAAAGGGTGTTTCACTAGAGACGACCTATTTGAATTATTTCATGAATTAAGCACCATTATGACTTATGTTTGATTTTGAAAGATTGGTTCTTTGATGAGTATAATTAGAATCCACTCTAATGTGGCACTGAGAGGGCTGGCAGCTAGTTCCATGTTAAAGCCTTTCAGTGCATATTGATTTTCTGTTGAGATGCACAACAAGAACGAATGGGAATAAAACAGGCCAACTCCTATTCAACCGCTAATAAAGATGCTGCCAGAGTTAGGCCGTGAATATAATTAGAAGCAAACTCTGACACCATGACTGACAACATTATCTGTGCTACTTCTTAAAAGCAAATAGTGAGGTTGGATCAACTCATGAAGGCTCAAGGATGGAAATGACGAGCCTATTCTTCTGCCTTCCTAAAAAGCAATCAGTCGTTCTATTGGGTGATGATAAATGCACAGATCTTCTCTTTCTCTGTGTATTTTATGTTTCTTTTCCTTTTTATTCTGAGCAACGTAACACGTTATGACATATAAATGCTAAAAATGCCTATTGTATGAAGCTGCCTCCTGAGAGTTTTCGTTGATAAGGTTATAAGCCCCACGCCTTTGCGGCAAAGCTATCTACAACTAACTAGCATGAAGTCAGAAGTATCCACGCTTTGAACACATCAGGTCACCGGACCCATTCATGAGAAATCAACTTAACAAAAATCCAGGAATGTTCTCTCTTTTCAAAACCAAGACGTACAAAGTTCAGAAAGTCACATAGAAAAAAAATTGACACATTACTTTTTTTTCCCATATAAAATAAATCCATTCTGAAGGTGCTCCCTGCAAGAGTTAAACATTTTATTCCACAGGACACTGCCCCTGCCCAACCTCCCCATCATCCAGTGATGGCAAAGGGAGGACTAGGTATTAGGAGAAAGATTTATGTAAACCYATCAAGATTGCTGAGGTTACCTTGAAAGGACGGTGCATATCTGGGCGTTTGTATCGAAGATAAATCAGTCCAGCAACTGCCAGCCCGATAAAAAGCCACCTGGCAAAACTGAGGAAATTCAAAAGACTGTAGAGGTCTCCAGAGAAGAGCATTATCATTGTCAAAGGGTGCTGGGGGGACAAAGGAGAAAAGCCAAGCTTGGTGAATTAAATGAGAACATCAATGATAACAAACAATGTCATTGCTTATTATTATTATCATTATTATTATTATTATCATCATCATCATCATCATCTTTGGCAAATCATTATCTATACTGATAAACTATCATCATGATCAAAAGAACCTCTTTTCTATATTCTACTCTTATCATCCCCTTTATACCAGGAACATTAAGAAGAGAGTGCCATTATCACTGCCCCTACTTCAAGTGGAATTTTATACAGATGCTTTGTTTTGATCTTAGTTCCCTTTACATTTGAGAGAAATGAATGTGTTTTCAAAGAGTAGGAGACAGGCTATGATGTCATCCAAAATTTAAAAACTAARAAATTGAGATGATTAGCAAATAGCCAATATTAAATATGAAATTTGGGCCCCATTGGAAAATTCAAAGAAAAGCTTTCTGCAAATCCTCTCTGATGAGCCCTTGGAAACACAGCCGCTGCTAGGTGGATCTGCTGTCTCCTGAATGCAAAATGTTGACCTTTTCTTCCTCCACGTTTACTGTCCCCGTGTGCTTGCCATGTGTGACCCTTAAGACCGCGGGAAAAAATGGAGCGCACAGAACAGCATAGCAAGTCTCTGTGGCTGCACCCGCCAAGGACAACATGACTGATAGCAGAGGCTTAAACCCAAAGCCCTCTTCACAGAATAATACATTCCGTTCCCACAAGTGACATTAACTTCCAGACTGCGCACAGAGAGTGTGCGTACTTTAAAGGGAAATTTCAAGGAAACATTCTGAAACAAATTAAATGCATGGGGGAAAATATGTTCAATGCATTCTATGGTACTCCTGACAGCAGATTCCAGTTGAGAAAAATGTTACAAAATCATAGGTAAAAACGACTATAACATTGCCAATGGGTGTTTGAGGACGTTTACACCTTTTACAGTCTTTTGTATCACACATTTCACAAACACTTTTCTCTGCATAGAGAATTCTACATCTTAAATTTAAGTTTGGGGGCTCTTCTTTCTTGCAGGATTGCTCTCAAATTTCTCACTTTTAATCAGAGAATCATTGCACAACAGGATTTCATCAATGCTTTGAATAATTTTGTGTACATTTCATACCATGATGAGACATCTGTTTATTTTTGGACAGTGGTTTTTAGCCATTCTTTTAGTAAGTGTTTGGAACTTTATATCCCTTTCTTTGAGGTTCTCTGTCAATGAGAGGAGACAGACTAATTGTTTTCCTTAGACCATACAAATTTCTACAGAAGTGAAATAGAAGCCATGTGGCTAATGCTAATGCATCAAATACACATAGGAAACACTGAGTAAAGAGAAGGTTTGGAAAATCTCTTGCCTTCCAGACTCCGCCTGATACACAATACAGCCAATTTAGCACTAGCTAAAGTCTGTTTGAATTCAGACGCTAACCTGTTTTTCGACGTTCTAGCTAGATATACATGTTAATATGCATTACCAAAACAATAACAGCTGGCAGAGGAGTGTGCTTGCGGACATGAATCATGGAGAGGATTTCTGGAAGGTGACCCTCTCGAGACGCAACATAGAATAACCTGATGGGAGAAAAATGCAGGTGGATTTGACTGTACAATTGATCAGTTCAAATGGAAAATCCAGAAATCCCAGAAAAAAGTCTATCTTTCTCCTACACAAGGGCTTGACACTCCTTGGCCAGTTACTTAGGTCTCACTTGACAGATAAGAATTTGAGAACATCCTAGGAAATGTKCATTCAATTTTGACCAAATCTGCCAACATGGTATATTGTTTTTGGAGGAGAAACCTAGCAGTGCCTGACTTGGCACAGCTCTCCCTACAGGTAAACCATGGAAGGTGAATGTAGTTCCAGATTCCAACCCAACACACACTCTCCAGCGCGTGCACACGCACACATACACCATCCAATATTTACCTGATCGGGTTTTAATCTTATCACAAGGAAACAAAAGGGGATTTCACGTCAAACAAACGAAAGGGATACAATGGTGGGGTGGTGATATTTCTGGTGTCTCTTACTTTACTTTTATTCCAGGCACAAGATTTTATCACCAGAAATAAAATGCAGTTGTTAGGCTCTGCAGACAGACTATAAAAAAATGCCACCTGTCCGTCTTCAGAGCAGGCTGTGCGTGGTCAACCAGCGCCCTCTAATGGGCAGAATAAAACGTGCTGTGCAGATTGGCACCAACTGCAAACTTCKCCTGTCCCTTTAAAAACAACTGGTTTGGAGGCAGGGTTGCTTTTCTTTTCAAAGTTATCCTTATCACATCCAATCTCAAAAACAGAAATGTGTTTCTGGAAATATGTGAACTCGCTCACCTGGAGACAGCAAACACACCCCCATTCATAGAGCCGAAGCAGGAGAGGGCAACGAAGATGGGAACTGCTAATGAGAAATTTCCCAGGAGCCGCTCAGAAAAGGTCTGGTGAAAAGAGAGAACGGAGGCAAATTAATGCTTTTTCAGAAAGTGGAATAAAATGAAACAATTTAGGCCAAACTTGCTCTCTGACTTTCTATTAGCCTGGCGATACGTGTGTGTTTTATAATCCTTCTTTTTGGGTGAGGGTCAGACTCAGCCCGTAGACAATAATCAGAAGCAGGTCCCCTGGTGTCGCGTGTTGCAAAACCATGAGCAAAGGTCCAAACAAGCACCCTCTCTCTACCTTCCAGGAGCAGTGATCCATTGACTGACTCTTTATCAACCATGATGTATATCAGCTGTGATGCTGATAAGTGGAAAAAGCTCAATTCAGAAGCTCTCTACTTTGAGGGACAGAAATCCTTTTGCACGGTTCCTTCTCTCTAGCCTGGAAAGCCACATTTTTACAGTGAAGGGCAGATACACATTGAGAAATTTTATGGATTGTCTGTTTCACATACAAATCCCACGGCTAGGGGATAAGTAAAACAATCAATGGCTTGGCCATTTACTTTAAGTATATGAGCCGGTCTGAACAATCTTTTTCCTAGAAAATTCATAGTAGCTGAACCTGTTTATAGAGCCACTTCCTCCCCTTCAGGTAGGTATCTGCCACTTCCTTCTGTGGTTTCCTCTAAAAAGCTGAGAACAAAAATACTAGTCTGACAAGCCACAGAAAATATACAAGATAAAATACTCAAGTTTCCTTGTATGAAGCACTGCAAATTTTCATGAAAGATGCATTCCCGCCCCCCCCCGTGCAAAAAAATAAAAAATAAAAAAGATATTGGATTATTTAGTTGTCCTTGATGCGGCCAGCGCTATGTAATTAATGGACCACATTATGTCCCCCAAATAAGTGCTGCCCTTGGTCTGGAAGGAGGAGATGACTGACCCAAGATCAATAAGCTTTATACATTTGATTGTCTGATAGGTGCAGCAGTGGAAAAAGTCTTTTGCACACCATGAACTCACACATAGGTTCACACAAAATGAGATAATTTATTCCCTGTGGATGTTGCTGATATGAGGTAATACTGACTATTTTAAAATGAACTGACATTCAGGGATGGAAAGTTAATTTTTCACCCTTCATTGTTAGGAGGTCATGAGTGGATGCTCTCTTACAAGCTAAATTGTTATGCAAAATTAAAGTATGTGTCACAGAATAAAAGTGCTATAACATGATCTTCGGGGCCAAAATCTGGTCCTGGTGTCAAATAAATTTCAGAAAACGTAAAATTATGTGTATCCACTTCTTAGGGAGTTAGAATGCACATTAGCATCTTTAATATTCGGAAGAGTACTATAGCAACAACATCTGTTTAACTTTTAATCACCTCATATTTCCCAAATTTATTAATATCCCAAGACTAGTATTCAAAGGATAGACCACAACAAACAAATATGCATATGCATGGTCCACCTGAACATTCTTAAGTGATACTTTGGGGAAAGGATTTTAAGTCAGCATTTGGGAAGTTTACAAACGGGAAAGAGTACAGAATGAATGCAATTTGCATACCAAAAATAAAAAGCATTCATTTAGATTCAGTAACTCTCCACTTATTCTTAAAGGATCATTGGAAGAATCATACCTTCCACTCAAAAAGCCCTGACAGGTTTTCAAGCAGGCATACGTGGAAATGTTTTATAAGAAATTAAAAATAAAAAAGAAATCATATAGGATTGTAGCCATATCAGTTAAATGGAATATGCTAAGATATGCTCTAAATTTTTWAAATATTCATTATCATTCAGGTCGAGAAAAGATTACCGAATTTCAAAACACTTCCTCCTGCAGGGAACTACTATAAAATTGCATCAACTCATTAACCTAAATTCCAATTGGCATTTTTTCAACTTGGACTTACCACTGCCACTGCATGGGAAAGCAACAGTTCATCAGCGCTAATGGTGGTAAAGTAGGCCACGTTGGTTAGCACGTAGCCAACAGTGACGATGACCATGGATATACATATAGCAAGGGGGATGGTTCTGAAATGCACAAAGGAATCGCTCATCAGTTATCTATTGTTAGTCATCTCTACCACCAAAGAAGGCAACAGACTCGTTCGGATGAAGAATATAATGGTAGCTGTGATAATTACAAGCTCTGTTGGGGTATTATAAACATTTCATCAGGATCAAGTACCGCATATTCCTTTGTAATTTAATAAGGTCCATGGGGGCAGATTTCTGTCTCATCTACTGCTATGCCCCTGGAACCTGTGGATCTGTCTTGTTCTTTCACTTCATAAAGGTGACAGCCGTGTTTCTTGAACTTGAGCATGCACCGGAATCACCTGGAAGGCTTGTTAAACCTGAGGCCCCCACCCCAGCGTTTCTAATTGGATAGGATTAGCATTTTTGCAAGTTGCTGGAAGAGTGCAGTGCTGCTGACCTGGGGAACACACCTTGAGGTCCACTGTGCTATATACCTTTCTAATACGGATGCACCGATAGCCTTTCTAAAACATCCTYAAAAACACATTTCACATGGAACAGTTTCCCTTTCAGTAGCTTCTCCTGTCAACAAATAAGTGCAGACTTTTGGAAACAGGAGAGTGGGATGTATCTACCTTTCTAAATGATGGCAATAATAATTTTGTATGTAACACAAGAAGCATAGAAGTGTTCGTGATAATGACTTTGCACTGCCCTGCTGTGAGTTCAAAGGAAGCTTGAGATCATGAGTATCTAATAAAGCCACAGTGCAGATAATCCCATGAAATTAGAGGTGACATGCTGTGAAGTACGGACGACTGGACAGTGCTGACACTGTATGGCATCAAGAAGTACCCAGCACAAATGTAATATTATGTCTTCATTTAATTCATTGGGAAAGCCAGGAAGTTACTGACCCTAATAATTTGATTCCATGTTACCGATACACATTACTTGCTTAACATATCGCCTCTTCAGACTCTTTCCAGTTCAGGCAACTTGAACCTTCAACTCCTCACACAAAGCTGATCATTTTTTTAGCCATAGTGCTTATCAGCCCTCATAGAGTCTTCACCCTGCTGGGTGCCACTAATGAAGACCTCAATATAATTTCTTCCAAGATGAAAATGCAGTTCAGAACCAGGAGGAAGAATAGCACAGCCGGCCTCACTGTCCAAGCTGGGTGTGTTTAGCACACTAAGTCTCAGCTCATTATGTCGAATAGCAATATCCCCTGTTGAGAACAGGCAAACCTAGCCAGTCAGCAGCTACCATTCATTATGCTGCTTGGAGTCTGACACTTCCTCTGATCCCCAAAGCCTTAAGCCTTGATGGGGAAACACATTGACCTCCAAATCCTGGCATCCTAACTTTCGAGTAGCAGATGTTCCCATTCCCCCGTGCACCAAGGGTCCTGTGGAATTTTCTGTTAACACCACAACATGCTTTGTTAGTTGTGATTGATAAATGCTACATTTAAGCAAGAAAATCACCAAGCCAATGAAATACAAGGGGGTGAATGACATAAAAGCAAATTAAAGATGAATTCTGTTTTTTTGAAAGAAAGGCTGTATGTAAATGCAAAAGGGCAGGAAGGAGAACAGGAAGGTACATACACATCCTTTTAATCCCTCACTGTATTATTTTAAACTTGAATCCATTTAGCTTTTATCATTGTCCCAAATGGGGAGTAAATGCTTTCTATGTAGGAGAGAGACAGGAAGGAGAGCAGTAGAGAAACTAATTCTCTATTATTTGCAAGCATTCCATCAAGGTATGTAAAGTTTCCATTAATTAAAAAAGAAAAAAGGAGGTGATGTTGTTAAGAGCAGAGAAGTAACCTAACATGTCCAGGACAGGTAGTACTCTTGCATCATATGATGCTGCAAAATGACAGAAAGAAATAAGTCTGCAGTTTTATACTGTATCCTCCCACCCCACCATGCCCAGCATAGAACGGAGTCTCCCATCCCAGCTCATCCAAGTCAGTCTTCCTGCCTCTCTGCGTAGATGCTATGATCTCTTGGAAAATGATTTTCTAAATTGATCATAGCAGAAGGCATCCTAGAAATTCCTTCTAGGTTGACTTTCCTTTTTTCTCAATTTGTTTTTAACAAAAAAAGTGGCAGCAGTTGCAGCCATTAGACAGGYCTGTGCCCAACATTTTGCATATTGGCCCCATTGCATCCTGGGAAAATCCTGTGAGTCAAGAGCATCAGCACCACCCTATATATGAGGAAATGGAGTCTTTGAGAGTTTAAATAACTATTCAAGAATACATAACAGGTAAGTGGAAACACAGAATTCACCTGTGTGTTTACCTTACCTTGAAATCAGAGCATTTTAACCACTACTGTGCATTTGTTGTTTCTCATGTATTTGTCCCTAAAGTTTATTAATTTTCAGGGAAATCATAGCTATTTAATATGAAGTTTATTAAAAGATTTTATCAAGACTGTACTTTTCATGAATTCACTGACAGTGCAGTTTGATGTACTCTAAAGGAGGAAAAAAACACAAGTTCTATGATTTTTACCATTTTTCTGTATCACATGAACTGTAATGTAAAAGTGAAATATTTCAAATAGTTTCACTGCTTAGCAAATAAGTCATTATTTATTATTTAAAAGGAAACAGTTCATTAATAAATTTCCCTAGACAAGTTTTTATATGAAAGGAAGAAAAGTAAGCATGCTTGTCAAATAAGCCAAAATAGATTATTAACAATTTTACTATCAGCCACATATACAAGATAGGTGTGGGGGGTGTAGGGAGAAATCACAAGAGCTTAAAATATGAGACCAGGGAGAGCAGCTGTGTAATCTTGTGGCAGTGWACGACATAACTAGTGATTCTCTCTAATGAGAAAATATGAAACCATAGGCATCGGAAAGAGGGGGGCTAAACAGCCACAGACTCTGTCCTTGGGTTCTGTCTCAATTGGAGAGGGAAGGGGTGGCACATTCTTGTGGCTGCCTTGGCACAAAACAGCAGTCATTTACGGAGGAGAGCGACTGGCACGCTCAGAAGGGCTCGGTGCCACGTGGTTAACTCCTGGGTTTGGAGCATCAAAGCGTAAGAGCCACTGGGTGAGCTGATAAAAGCTATTAGGCCATGCCAGAGAATCTTTCTGAAGGCTTTAGATGAGAGGGCAGATAAGCGTGGTTAGTAACCCAAGATTAAGGCAAATGGCACAGGATAATAAGAGGAATTAGAGGAAGGAAGCGGCAGGCCACTGATATTTCAAAGCTTCTGTGTTATTGAGCATCCACMGACCCGAAATGCAACAAAGGCCCTGCCTGGTGCTGAATAAAAATGACACACCTGTGAATTCCACTCTTTCTCAAGTGTTTGTTATGATTAACAAAAAGCAAATTCCCTGAGAAGTTACTTAATCCTTAAGAGCTATTGTCATTATAATGTTCTTTCCAATTAACACAGTAAGTGTGGGGATCTGATATTTCTGTTTGGTTGCAAACSGGTCCTCAATCAAAAAGTTCTGGAATACTGGGGTGGGGGGTGACTCCCTGGCACTCCCCCCTCGCCTAGCATGAGTGAGGACCTGGGTTTGATYCYCAGGGCCTCAAAAAAGGTCCTGAATGGTCTTGTCATCCAGGCATATTTTAAATTGGCACCTATAACTGGTCTATGTCACACATGGATACATGGTTTTTTTTGGTAAACAAAAGTGTCTGGAACATCTGCTTAGAAGCACTTTAACAGATAGACCTTCCCAGAAATGATTTCAATAGTGATGGTTGGTGGCTTAATATAAAATCTACAAAGCACTGGCAATTGCATTTTATTTTATCTTCATGCGTGTGTGTGTGTGTGTGTGTGTGTGTGTGTATTTATTTATTTATTTATTTTAATCCATTGTAGGATGAGATAGAGTAGAAACAAATAACAAACAAAATTCACGACAAGCCACCAGCATAGGAGGCAACACCCCCATTTTTTTCAAAGGAAACTAAGGTGGTGAAGGATACAAACAAGGTCACAGAAGTAGTGGAGGAGAGGGCTGGACTGTGAGCCCAGATCTTCCAGTGCTTGGCTCCACATAACTGATATATCCTGTCATGKAATGGTTGGTCGCTATTTTATGCCTACGTTCATCTTAGATACAAGATCCCTAAGATCCTTACTGGTTGGCAAATACATATTTCATTTTATATAAATGATCACATATCAGAAGGCCAGTTTGTACAGTGTGACACATTTTAAGCCAACTACATTTTTTCTATGCACCTAATAGTCACCACACCATAAATAAATTTTCAGCTAATGAAGACTATCATGCACCTTGTCAATATGCTGTGCAGCCCTAGGATAGAATATCGGAAATGACTCTTGTTTTCAGAGCTTCGTTTTGGCTAAAAGTGATAACTGCTGTGAAAATGGAATGAGTAAGCTTTGATTCTCTACATGGTCAAGAAAGCCTGAATGTTAGATTTCTGATAGACCACAAGAGTAATCTTCTAATCACATGAATTTAGAATTTTCCAGATTYACTGTATAACTGCAACAAAATTTTCTGAGATTGGCATAAACCAAAATGGTTCTTGTACAATCCCTGTTTGGGACACACATATCAGGGACCACAGAACTCACTGGTGCTGGGGCATCTGTACTCATCCTTGTGCTGTGAGCCTGGCATGATGGCAGTCAGTTCTGTTAAAACTTACTCTTGTGATGTTCTGAAACCTTCCAAATTGGTGGATGATGATTCTATTTAAAAGCCATTAATAATTTAAAACATGTATTTCATATTCAGAGAAAAAAAGATAATAAAAGAGAGGATCAAGAAGGTAGAAAAATGGCAAACCCCTTAACATCTGAGATGTCAAAAATAAAAAGAAGAACCAGGGAGTTTTTAGGGATTTAAAAATTTTGATGGTAAACTAGGGACTATTTGCTTCTATATAATTGAAATGGAACCATGATTTATCTCCACATCAAGTATTTACAATTAAGTTAAGTATGTCTTAATTCTAGGTATTTTAGAATCACACTTGTTTCACATTTTCTTCATAGTGACTAGCACTTTTCAC